ATAATCGAGCTGGCATTCTACAGCTCAGACCAGATCATAGTTATTCTGGGCGCGTAAAAAGGTCCGCTTAATTTGTTGAACTTGATGTCCAAGTTGACCACCGCTCAATACTTAAGAACTTAGGGTTAGGAGACACAATGGGATACTGTCAACTACAAAGGTGGAAGAAAGGAAATGAAACTGTCTTGAAAGGTAGGAAAGTCGAGCTCCGTAAAGATGGTTTGGATCATCGTGATTAATTCTCACAGCATTTCTATTGTCTTCGGAAGCAGACGAGTATAGCCGATGGAGGGTGGTTATTGTCGTTGATGGACGTTAACAATGCCAGGGAGGGCCTTAGTAGGGCTCTCCGCTAATCCTCATTTGAAGAAGGGCATGTTGTAGCGCTTGGGAAAAGCCGTGGAGGGGAATTCATTCCTAAGCCTTCTGAAGTGATAAAAAATGACTTTGAACGTGAATACGCTTACAAAACAACTTCTATGATTATGATTTCCTTTTAATAGCACGTGTCGCGTAAATGGGTAAATGCGTAAGGTAATGTGATTTCACTTTGCATTCACCACCACGCCTGATCACCGTTTCGAATGGGCGTCCGATTGCTGTCCGTCTGCGTGTCAAATTACAGGGTGCGGTGCCATTGATCAGTACGCACCGGTGATCGACACGACGAGTCCGAAGGTCGCTTGGTTATGTACTGACTCTTACGGCCGCACAGTTTGGTTGACGAATCTTATTTGGGTCCAGATGAAGAAATTGGTAAGGGTCAACGGCGCAGATACCCGATTTTGCGTACGCAGTATACTATTATTGTCGTTGGCTGCTGCTTTTGAACTAGAACAGGACCCTATCTGTCTAATTCCTTAATGGTCAGAAGTACAGACATGAAATGTCATTCAAAGTGTGATCATTAAAGCCAAGTTTTTTAATGCTTTTTAACGTGAAGTGGCCACTGAGTTTCACGCCGTATCTTCTCAGTGGGTCGCGTTTCCGATCTGGTGGTAGATTCCGCGAAGCACTGCTCTTGCTAGGGCCAGTGTTAGCAACTTCGTCAGGTTTGAGCCCCGAGAACTCACCTACATGCTAGGGTAACGCTGATATAGCTTCTCAAGGCTATCCTAACCTATCTTACCCTAACTTAGCATAGGTAGGAAAAAAGAAAAAGTGAACTTTTCCAAATTTTTAGTCTTACTCCATCCGGTATTGAGTTATCGGAACCCTCGGAAAATCGTGGCTTTCAGAGGAGATTTGTTTATATCGTAGACGATTTCGTCTGGTATTCAGTGATAAGGTGAGACCTTTAGACATCAGGTCGAAGTTATCATCATTCAATGCGTTGTATAATGGCTGCCCCACCCTTCAAATCGGAACGCATGACCACTTCGCGCAGAAATAAATAGGGAAAACGGCGGTGACTAACTGGCATTTACTGACATCTATATTATTTGTCAGCTAAGATGCTTATGAGTACGTATCTATCTGGAAAATTTTGGTGTATGGCTGTGGGATCCGAAGTTCAGACTCGTCACTACGCACCGGGTGTGTTATCGTTATAGGCCGCGGCGACATTAATTAATGCACGAAATATACATTCTGTTTGCGATAAAGAAAAAAGAAAATGATAATTATATACGCAAAATTTCTAATGTACAATTAACTCTCCTATAACACGGTAGATACGTTCCTACAAAGCCGCGTGTTGTACGAAACCACGTTATATGAGACTAGAAGCCACTACAAAAAGGAGAGTAATTTTTCTAAGTGAAACATCTCAACTATGCCTGTATTTCTTTAGCTATTATACATAAAAATAAGCAGTAAAAATTTCAGTTATTCCCATATATTGTGTGTTCATATTGCATAATAGTGTAATTTTTTAAATAATTTTAAACAAAAATCTCGTTATCGTGTTGTTGAATTACCGTGTTATAAGAGGGCGTTGGGGAATTGTTCGTGTTAGAGCGGAACCGTGTTAAAGTAGGGCTACCTGTAAATGTAGTATTCATTAGGTCTCGGGAATACCGAAGATAATGCTTTATATAAACATAATTTTTATTTATTGCTTAGATGGGTTGGTTTTGGTAACCACCTGGTTTTAAGTGGCTACGAGAGTTCATAGACATCTACAACGTAAATGCCACCCACCTTGAGATATGAGTTTTCTTGGCTGCGCCCTTGCTCGCCCACCTACCCTGGTAAAACTGGAAAGGTCTCCGGGCCACCCATAAACTCTCTAACATAAAAAAAGATATAAGTTCTAAGGTTACTATAGTTACAACGGTGGCCTCACCCTTCAAACCGAAACGCATTACTGCTTCAGGGCAGGGGCTTTATAAAATCACATATTTTAAGTCTGGTCGTTTCCATGTCCCCGTTGTGGATAACAAACAACCAAACGATTCGTTCCGGGTAATATTAGTTCGCGGACGTTATTTAGGTCCTCATATTTATAATTCTTGCGCCGGGCGGTCGGTGTGTAAGCGAGACGATCGTATGTGGGTCGACTTTCACCCGGAGTGACGTGTGCGACGGACCATTGTTGTGGACGTTCGCGTACCATAACATCTAGAGTGTGTGTAGACGTGCATGTGTAGAGGAAACCTTTATTTTTAATTGCCCTTGTATGCAGACGAACATATGCAATGCAGAGCCAAGCCAAGCTAACGTTAAGTACTCTTCACAAGCCTCGCTTGAAGAAGGACATGTCATAGCGCTTGGGAAACACCGCGAAGGGGAGCTCGTTCCAAAGCCGGATGGTACGTGGCAAAAAAGATCTCTGGAAACGCACTGCGGATGAACGCAATGGCTCCAGGTGGTATGGACGAACTCTGATGGCGGGCTGTGCGATGGTAAAAGCTATTATAGATGATGGTATCATCTCAAACAATTCCTCAGAACATTCCTAAATGATTCCTTAGACAGACCGTAGACGAAACATCTTGAATGTGCTTGTATACATTTCGAATACCTGCCCCAATCTTCAGTGTGCTTAGTTCGAGTTTTTAACGTTTTCGATAGCGTAAAAGTTAACTCAAATTTGTATGGAGTTAGAACAGCGTCCCTAGCAGCAAACGAAAGGAAGCTGTTCCAACTCCATACGAATTTGAGTTAAAAAACTCGCACAAAGCATATAGACCAGACACCTTCCGCTCGGTATACAAAAGGACCCTTTCGTAGTGTTGTCGACGTCGCCCAAAACACGTCAATACGGATCCTCCCGATTTATTAACGGTGCTTTTAGGTACCACAAGCGCCGTCCTCGTTTCGACGAGTAAATTAACCCACAGACACAGCCCACTGAGTTTCTCGCTGGATCTTCTCAGTGGGTCGCGTTCCGATCCGGTGGTAGATTCTGCGAATCACTGGTCTTGGCGCTCTTGCTAGGGCCAGTGTTAACAACACTCCGGTTTGAGCCCTGTGAGCTCATCTACATGTTAGGGCGAAGCTGAAATAGCATCTCAAGGCTATCAGCATAGGTAGGAAACAAAACGTAGTGTCGATAATACAATAACTGTCGTTCGTATTCCTTGTCCGTACGATCGCAATTAAACAGATAAATAATTATCCCGTCTAATTCGTTTATAACCTGTGTAAATTACGTATTAGAGTCGCGCACGGAGACGACGGAGCGTAAAGTATCTTTGATGTAAAAATTGCGAAAGAACGCATCGCGCCAAACAGAGCGCGTCCACAGGCAATTTCTCCGAAACTAATGCTTTTTGACGCCGCTCTTAAGAGTTTTGTACTGGCTTCTTGATGTCGGTGTCTCTGGACATAACGTAGAGCAGAAAACAACGATATATACTCTTGGAGGTTTGCGTACTACGACGATGTTCTTCTCATCCAGGGGGAGGTTTTGTTAGTGTCTTTAAAGGTAGACCAGTATACAGTAGTTCTGATGGTGGCTGGTTACTGGCAATCTAAAGGTGGGAGTGGAGTTAAGCCGCTACCTATAAGCTACTGAGACAGCTCGCTTGGAACCTCTTGATCTATGAAAGAACTTCGGTTTTCTCCGTGTTAGTTCCACGGAGAATATTCTAAGAGTTTTTATTTTGAGATGACAACATCATGTTGTTTTATACTATCGCACGGTAAACATGGATGGTAAACAACTCTACTCCGGAGTAGAGTTCATCCATACTACTTTTTACTACCCACTACGTCAAACGAGGTTTACAGATATTACTCAGCAGCAGGTAGCAGCTTGGCTGTGTCGCTGGCACTGCTGACGTTCATGACCAACGGTAACCACATACCTTCAGATGGGTCCTATCCTCGTCGCTTTCTGAACCAAATTTTCACCTGGAACCACTGCTCTCCACGACTTATTAAAAGTTAATTTTTGATTAATTTTAAGCTATTGCATAGCTTCTATCGCGAGCCTTGAGCGCGGCGACTGAATCCAGAAAATCCGTAACGAAAATAACCTGACACTCCCATTACGCCTACTATGTAGCTCGCGTTCAACACATTCACACTTTGCGCTGGTGTAGTGTTTGTGAATAAGCGCGCGGCGTGGTCGCACTGCATGACCATCATGAAAAGTCTGCTCATCTCTCTCTCACGCGGTCTAGCTTATGAGTGTGAAGGGGACAGTTAATGTTTTGCTTTTGTTAATGTTTATGAATATAGCGTGGTCTTATTTTTATTATTGTTTTAATATTAAATTATTATTGTCTAATTGTAATTGCATAGGTTGATAAAAAATCCTTTGCAATAGCTTTACCGCGGCAGTCCCCGAGTGACACACGTGTTTTTTTTATTGCCTTTGTAGGCAGATGAGCATACGGCCCATCTGATGTTGAGTGGTTACCGTCACCCATGGACTTCAGCAATGCCAGGGGCAGAATCAAGCCGCTGCCTACCGTTAAACCGAATGAATAAATTCCGCGACATACGCTTCTTCTAACAACGTTCCAAGAGTTAGCCACCGGCTTGGCTGTCTCTCGCATCCAGATGCCTTTATATCCAGTCCCCGTCCATGCCTGGAGGAGTACACTCACCAGCATCGGTATGTTGGGCACGACGACCGCATCGTCGTCCATCCCGTTGCTCATCTCCGGCTGGAAGGTGTACGTCCTCTTGTAGTGGAAGGACAGCGTGCCATTCTCGTTGTCTGTTATGTTGATCTTCTCCCACTCCTCACTGTTGGCGTTAAAAGAGATTCATTAGTAACGCACGCGCATTTTGAATTCGAAATTGCTGTCAGTTAGTATTTGTCTTAAAAACGTCATAAATACGAAAGTTTGTGATCGTTGATGTGTGGTTTGTTATTAAAAACCACATTAGTGGGAAATTTACACTCAGAATGAAATGAGTCAATCATACTGTTTCATGAACGCTTAATGTTTTCGTAGTATACATGTATACTATAATATTAATAAGGAACGGAGAAAACGAAGCTAGGCACTAAGAGATAGTAGTTATATTACCTATATTCCGAAGATAATATTATTTTTAAATACATATTTAACAAATGTTCTGGATTCACTTCCACGATGAAGGAATAATATCGTGTAATAAAAAATGAAACCTGCAAAATTATAATTTGCGTAATTCCTGGTGGTAGGACGTCTTGTAAGTCCGCACGGGTAGGTACCACCGCCCTGCCTACTTCTGCCGTGAAGCAGTAACACGTTTCGATTTATTGCTAAGACGAGATAGACGAGCTCACAGCCCGCCTGGTGTTAAGTGTAACCACTGGAGCCCATAGACATCAACAATGTAAATGCCGCCACTCACCTTCAGATATGAGTTCTAAGGTCTCAGTATAGTTACAATGGCTGCCCCACCCTTCAAACCGAAACGCATTAGTGCTTCACGGCAGAAATAGGCAGCGCGGTGGTACCTATCCGTGCGGACTCACAAGAGGTCCTACCACCAGTAATTACGCAAATATGGGAATAACCGAAATTTTACTGCACACGTTTACGGAAAAACACTCAATGGCAGTGGATACGTCGCTTCATAAGCCACTTTACGATACTCTATTAATAAAATATGACCCTTTCCCAGTTCCTTATAAGTTAATCTAGCTTAAACAGTTCTCCACACGTACATTACGACTCGTAATTAAATCTGACATAGATTCGTTTAATTCGAATAATAATAATAATCGATTATGTGTTATCACCACTCAACGAATAATCGACACGAAATATGTTATTAATTGTTTATTAATTGACATTGTTAACGCTGGACGTAATGAATCATCTAGAATTCGATCAACAGAGATTTGTGGTCGCGTCCACCGCACTCGACTTCCTCAAATAATTATCGCTCACAAATGAATTATTCAAAGAAATACCTATTCTACAGATCCGCGACGTCAATCTTTCGAAATTAATTAATTCAAAAGTAACAGTTAAATCTTAGGTTCTTTTAATTTGTTTTACAAATGAGATCATTCCGTAAACTTTACGGTTAACGTGGCCATTCGTGACCGGTAATTAGCTATCTTTCATAAGTACCTTTAATACGTCATGTCGTCGTGGCCTAAAGTATAAGACGTCCGGTGCATTCGTGTCGAGCGAGATGCACCGGTGTTCGAATCCCGCAGGCGGGTACCAATTTTTCTAATGAAATACGCGTAACAAATGTTCACGATTGACTTCCACGGTGAAGGAATAACATCGTGTCACAAAAATCAAACCCGCAAATTTATAGTTTGCGTAATTACTGGTAGTAGGACCTCTTGTGAGTCCGCGCGGGTAGGTAGCACCACCCTACCTATTTCAGTCGTGAAGCAGTAATGCGTTTTGGTTTGGTGGGCAGCCGTTGTAACTATATTGGGACCTTGGAACTCATATCTCAAGGTGGGTAACGAATTTACGTTGTAGATGTCTACGTGCCCCGGTAATCACTTAACACCAGGTGGGCTGTGAGCTCGTCCATTCATGTAAGCCATAAAAAAGAAAAAAAAAAAACCTGGTGAGGTTGCCCGAGAGAGATCGTGTAAACGATAAGACGGCTAATTATTTTTATTGATAATATAATTACTAGGTTACGGTGGAGCACGGCACATTATTGAACACGCACGTGCCAGACAATCCTATACGGATTGTATGCAAAGGAAAATGTATTGAAATATATGAATATGAAAAAACCTTTGTTCAAAACTCTTTAGTTTTTAAAAACAATTTCTCTTCAGTGTCACAAAGTGAAGTAGGTATGTCATTCAGTAAAACAGAGAGTTCGGTTTTGCACAGTTTATTAATACTGTTTACTGTTTAATTTTTAATGTTATTTTTAAAAGAGACCAGCTGTACCCGTCCGTCTCGCTGGGCATTATAATTAACATTATTATTTCTCACCCCCACAAAGATTCTCATCATTAACGCCCCCACTAACTGGTCTAGGGAGTCCAACACTCATATAAATATTGACCTATCCATTAAGTACATGTATTTTCTACATGGGTAGGTACCAAGTTTCAAGTCAATCGGATGCATGGTTCAGTAGTTATAACGGAACATCCGTAAAAACCACCCTCAGACACAGCACACTGAGTTTCTCGCCGGATCTTGTCAGTGGGTCGCGTTTCTGATCCGGTGGTAGATTCTGTGAAGCACGGCTCTTGCTAGGGTTCGTGTTAGCAACGTCAGATTTGAGCCGCGTGAGCTCACCTATTAGTTTGAAATAGCCTCTCAAGGCTCTCAGCTGAGGTAGGAAAAAATGTATAAATTTGCTTACGAGTAAACATATGGTCCGAGCTCGTCCAGTATCGGCTTGGAGCCGTTGTTGAGGAACTCGTCAGCGTTGGTCACGTTGTACACGTAGACCTTGACGAAGGGCCGCACCGGAGGCCGCGCCCACCACTCGAACGTCATCGAACCTGGGCGAAGCACCAGCTCCTGCGAACAATAAACATTTCATACGTAAATAAACAAACCGTGAACCTTTAATCTGTTACGCGCTGGGTTTCGTACTAAAGTACAACTTATAACTGTATTTAACACTTAGAACACTCACAGAACACTTTACAAATCGTAGTTCAATTATTCCGCTTCGCTTCAGGTGATCCGTTCGCTGTTTCGCTTCGAGTAGTTCCGATTACTGACTGACTTCGGGACCATCTCTGCAACGCTTTGATAGTCATAATGGTTTAAAACATTGCTCTTTTACTGCGAAATTGAGACTTCGATGTCTCAACGCGAAGACCTCATCCACATCGTTATGACCACAAGCACCACCACTTAAGCTGACGATGTAAATGGCATTGTCAATCGAACTAGAGGGTTGGAAGGTAACATAGAGTACAACAGCAAGATATGTTGGTTCTTCCTATTTAACCCCAATTTGGTTTATTGACAAAACTTCATACGATCAACTTCGATCATACGTCACTGATATCCGTGACCGCGGAAAGCACGAAGATATATTTGACGTTTTAACCGATTTAGGTATTTCAAGGTTACCGTCGCGTCGAAAAATGAAATTCTAATCGCCCGAGCGGTCAAATCCGGGGCGGCTCCGGCGTTCGCCTAAAGAAGTTATCGCAATACTTGCCATGGAAACGTATGCGCATAATTTAAGCTTAGATTTAGCAACGTAATATGACCAAATAGTTGCAGGTTGCAGCCTGCAATCGTCATGATTTCGTCATGGCTCGGCTATAAAGTAATTGTTTGTCAAGATCTGCAGAGGAAGCGCGGACCAGATGCCGCTAAAACCAGCAATGGACATCATTTATTGTGTATGACGGAGTGACTTGTTCCGTGGTGTTTTAAAAATAATGACGTCACCATTGTTGATGACGTCGGTGCCTGATGACGGCGCGACCGACACCGCGTTGTTATTACAAATGATGATTCTGTTCGTTATTGTTATTGACTTTTGTAGTGGCCGTAATGAAGACTCACTTTTCCAATAAATTCCATTTATTGCTTTTCAAGTGTACAGCGATAACAATAGAGAGCTCCGCTCCGTTCGACTGATCGAGCCAGAATGTAATGAGCATTTTTTTTTCCTACCTAAGCTGATGATAGCCTTGAGAGGCTGTTAAGAAACCTATTTGACAATAAGTCGGCTGAATTACTTCCACAACCCAAACGTCATGTATTCCGATACAATTTTTCACAATCAGGGAAAAGTAACAGTAAATTTACTTCTTCAAAATTAAAACTGTCATTTTTCCTCGCGCATCTTTTTTTAACTTATAAACTTAACACTGTCTCGATGTAAAAAATTTGACAATTTCAAAAGTGGTAAGCCGTTAGAAACTTATCTCTAGAGACATAATAACGAACATCAACAATGACTGTACCTTTTGTGCGTATGATAGGGAACTATTCAAAAATATTTAACAAAACTCTATTCTAATTTAGCGCCTCAATTATATATAACTAGAACAATGCATAACTATGAATTAATTTTAATGCTATTTAATTTAATTATATTGTTATGCATATCTGAAGCTACGTAATTCATTGCGTTCTTCAATTTTAATTGCATCAATCAATTGCACATTCACACAAATTAGAGTGACTTCGTTTCATTACACGCCAATATAAAATTAATACAAATGCAAAACATTAAATATGACAGTTCTTAACACTAGGAGTGATCTTTACCACATAACCATCAGATGAACTAGATTTGCCTAAGGAAAGAAATTTACCAAGGTGTATTTAGCGATTGAAAAAGTAATCTTTATATATATATGTATATTTCTTCAGTGCGTGTGTTTGTCACTGAACTCCTCCTAAACGGCTGGACCGATTTGAATGAAATTTGGTTGGAGAATGGTTTAGATTTACAAATCAGCGCGACAAATGGCACTGCAGTCAGTATCTAGGTTATTTACCTTTCCTAGAAATAATTTATATGGCAAAACAACGTTCGCCGGGCCAGCTAGTATATAAATAAATATCAACAGTATGGTGATAGTATTATGGTGATATTATCATCATCATCCTCCTGCCCTTCTCCCAGTCACCCGGGGTCGGCGCAACATGCTTTCTTCTTCCATACTAATATATCATATACCATTACTTCACTCACTCCCCTCTTACACATATCGTCTTTCACGCAATCCATCCATTTCTTCTTAGGTCTACCTCTTCCTCTATATCCTTCCACATTCATAGTTAACACTCTCTTACCAACCCCATTGTCATTTCGTCTCATAACATGTCCACACCATCCCAAACGTACACTTCTCAATGACAGCATAACTATATTTCACATAAAATAACTAAACAATTTGTGGATAAATATTACATTTTACACAAAGAATACCTATGATAAATGCAACATTATGGACATACTAATGATATAGATTAAAAAGTTTTTTTATTCGCCTATATGGGTGGACGAGGTCACAGCCCACCTTACAAGCGATTACGGAAGCCCATGGACATCAACAACGTAAATGTAGCCATCCAGCTTGAGACGCGAGTTTTAAGTCTCAGTTTTAGAGTACAACTCCTGGCTGACTCATCAAATCGGCATTACTGCTTCACGGCAGAAATAGGCAGGGTGGTGGACCCTACCTACCCGTGCGGACTCACAATAAGTACCTTAAATACATTGACAACTAATCGTTTCAATAATTCTCCTTGACCAGTCGTTTGAAGGGATTTAATGCTTCAGTGAAATTGTGGTTTTTTTTACCACTCTACCTCTGAAATAGTGGCTTTTTCATTATTTCTATCCTAGTAACCTCAAAGAGTTATACTAAGTTCTACATGTAAACGAACTCACGGGGTCAGCCTAGTGGATCTAACACTGGCCCTAGCAAGAGCAGTGCTTCGCAGAATCTACTACCGGATCGGAAACGCGACCCACTGAGAAGATCCGGCGAGAAACTCATTGGGTTGTATGATATAGTATTTTTCTTTTGTCGTACGCCGTCTTAAAAATTCCCGTTCACGCTATCTATATATATATATATATATATGTCGCAGGCAATTTGTATGATTCCGCCGTTTACAAACGGCGTTGTCATTATAAAAACGCTCGCCGTTATGTAAAATGCCGAAGGCAAAATGTAAACTGCCGTGTCACTTTATAATATGCCACAACATAGCATCGACAATTCAAACGCCGTTTTCATAATGCCGCGGCAAATTGAAATGCTTAGTTCAATTTTTTACCACGCGCGCCACTGTTGATCAAAATAATAACAACCACGTCAAAAAATAACTGAAAACAGTGCAAATATATCGTGTGGAGAAGACATTTTAGGAAAGAATTCTGATTTTAAAGGTATATATTATAGTGAATTAAAAAATATATACAATTCTCAAATGGAAGCTATAAAAAAGCCTTGGACAAATAGTAAGATTTTTGAGGTTATTCGGCACCTAAAAAATTCTAAGGTGGCCACAGAATCTGGTTCGCGGAGGACTCCTGCAGATTACTACTGGTCAAGACAATACGAGGTCATGAGCATCAGTGAATTGGACTACCTTATTTTAAAAAGGATAGCCCTGATCCAACCGTTCGAGTAATACCGTTGAACGAATATTCCGATGTGTTGTTAGAGATTCATAGAGGTTGCGGACATAGTGATCGAGACAAAATTCAGTATCAAACGAAGGATAGATTTATTAGTGTGAGAAAAGCAATTGATTTGTTCGTATCATTATGTCCTGTTTGTGAATCCAAACGTAACATACCAAATAAAGGTATCGTAGTTAAACCGATTATATCTCGAGATTTTAATGAGCAGAGTCAAGACCATGAATACTTCAAACTTCAAAATAATATGGTTTTACTTACGACCTGTTTGTTTTATTTGAAAGTGTCATATTATCCTTAGAAGTTTTATTATTGTCATGAGTATATAAAGTGTGTATTTTAAATGTTGTTTTGTTACTTAAATATTTTAACTAAGTACTTTAAGAAAACCAAAGCACATAATTTAGTCTTACTTGAAATTTTCATTAGTACCTGATTACGGAAATAAAGTCTGATTATTATAAACTGCATTTTATTATGGTCACCCTAAAACTACAACCAATGTCAAAATTATAACTATTGAACGAGTTATCATTTTGCCTTCGGCATTTTACATAACGGCGAGCGTTTTTATAATGACAACGCCGTTTGTAAACGGCGAAATCATACAAATTGCCTGCGACATATATATATACTAATATATATATAAATCTACAGTAGTTTTTACGGATGTTCCGTTATAACTACTGAACCATGCATCCGATTGACTTGAAACTTGGTATCCATGTAGAAAATACATGTACTTAATGGATAGGCTAATATTTATATGAGTGTTGGGCTCCCTACACCAGTTGCGGGGGCGTTAATGATGAGAATCTTTGTGGGGGTGAGAAATAATAATGTTAATTTTAAATGCCCAGTGAAGCGGACGGGTACAGCTAGTTTTATTCTAAGGTCATTTTAACGGTTATCCGTAGAAAATTCTAGAGACAAATAACACGTTTTAACAATTAGTAATAGTGTCTGTTTGAGCGCGGTCTGTTGTCTCTATGACGACCGAACGGGGTCAAGGTGGTTTTGTCGATGGAAGGTTTCGCAAGAAACTCACCGTGGACTAAAGAAACTCTTAGTATCTTTGATACATTGAAGGCGTTTGATGAAATTCAAACGTATCCATCTTATGTTAGAGTTGATTTCGCTTTGCAGTCGATCTTGACTTGTTCTTTATTTTGTTGCTTAGATGTGTGATTGTGCTCACGGCCCAGCTGGTGTTAAGTGGTTACTGGAGCTCATCGACATTGCGAATTCTATATCTGTAGCACGACGGCTGTAAATGGCTTAAAATGCCGCCACGCACCTTGAGATTTTTTTTAATTGCTTAGATTGGTGGAGGAGCTCACAGCCCACCTGGTGTTAAGTGGTTACTGGAGCCCATAGATATCTTCAACGTAAATGCGCCACCCACCTTGAGATATAAGTTCTAATATCTCAGTATAGTTACTACGGCTGCCCCACCTTTCGAACCTTCCTTGTGTAGGAGGATATTCCATGGTGAGCGTTTAGTGGCAAACATGAGAGAAATAACAAAATGGAGTGATCTTCAAAACATTAAAACCGATGCACATATTGCAGTAATACAATCAGAATCGGAATGCAGACCACTCGGAATATAAACCAGAAAATCGAGTTTCATTTTAATTAAACTAAAAACGTGTCTTTCGTCATTAATTTCATATTTTATGAAGCATCAATGCAATGTGGAGGTAGGTAGTTGGCTGGAAACTTCCGCGAAGCGGTTCGAAGTTGACCGTCAATGGATTTTAAGCTTTGGGATGTCCAACAATAAAGCGGATATCTTCCACCGAGCTGGTGATATTGCTCGGTAGACCGACGTTCCGAATGTTCTTATTCAGTGTGCTTAGTGCGAATTGTTTTTTACGCTCTCGACAGCGTAAAAGTTAACTCCCATTTGTATGCAGTTAGAACAGCGCCCCTAGCGGCTAACGTAGGCAAACGTTTTAACTCCATACAAATTTGAGTTAACTTTTACGCGATCGAGAACGTTAAAAAACTCGCACTAAGCACACCGAACGTGTATAGTAATGTTTATATCGAAGGGTGAAAGGATATTTGGTTAAAGCGAAATTTTTGCAATTTTACAGGAAGAGCCATTTAAAACTTAAAATTTGGAAATAACAACAAATCTTCAGCTATTTGAATGGGGTACATTAAGCTGAATTTTACTGGTGGTAGGACGTCTTGTGAGTCTGCACGGGTAGGTACCAAGACCCTACCTATTTCTGCCGTGAAGCAGTAGTGCGTTTCGGTTTGAAGGGTGGGGCAGCCGTTGTAACTATACTGAGACCTTAGAACTTATATCTCAAGGTGGTTGGCGCATTTACGTTGTAGCTGTCTATGGGCTCTAGTAACCACTTAACACCAGGTGGACTATGAGTTCGTCCAGCCATTTACGCAAGAAAAAAAAATTGGCACTATGTGCCAAGAGCTTAATGTTTTTCTTTAAGATTTAAGGATTACTGGTTGCCCTGAGGCCTTTCCAGTTTCACCAGGGTGGGTGGCGCATTTAAGTTGTAGATGTCTATGGGATTACCGCCAGGTGGGCTGTGATGAGATCGTCCACCCATCCAAGCAATAACAAAAAAAAAAAAATGTGTACCTCTTTAAAACCGTAAAAATCATTTAGAGTCGTCGTGTTCGTGAGCTTATAACACAGTTTCCCGTTACCCATCAACTCAGTTGCATATTAATCGTCCTCATTGCCCCAGGCCAAGGTTCGATACGCTCAATCGAGCATCGACTCGCTTTCCAACGTGACTCTTGGTTACCGTGCGTTATTAGTATGACCAATAGTCGGGTAGGTACCACCGCCCGGCCTATTTCTACTGTGAAGCAGTAATGCGGTTCGGTTTGAAGGGTGGAGCAGCCGTTGTAACTATACTTGATACCTTAGAACTTATATCTCAAGATGGGTGGCGCATTTGCCTTGTAGATGTCTATGGGCTCCGGTAACCACTTAACACCAGGTGGGCTGTGAGCTCGTCCACACATTTATGCAATAAAAGAAGAAAGAATGAGGGTGATCCTATGTACTTCATCAAGACCGGACCACCTATAAGGTTTTGCTGCTGATTGAATCTTCCGTGTGGGCCCACCGGATGGTAAGTGGTTACCGTCGCTCATGGACGTCATCAATGCCAGATGTAGAGCCAAGCCGCTGCCTACCGCTTAATACTCTCCACAAGCCTCGTTTGAGGAAGGACATGTCATAGCGGTCGGGAAACACCTTGGAGGGGAGGTCATTCCAAAGCAGGGTGGTACGTGGCAAAAATGATCTCTGGAAATCCACTGTGAATGACCGCAGTAGCTCCAGGTAGTATGGATGAACTCTACTCTGGAAACTTCTTTCCTACTCCAGTACTCTGATGAAAACAACACGAGAGGCAATCTCTATGTGTGTACCGGAAACTCACAAACGAGATGAGGCCGTGCAGACCCTGAACATCAGATATCTTCAACAAGAACGATGGGCGTAGTGATTCCCGTGGCACAGACGAGCTCTGCCAAGTTCGACGTGCAACCTAACCTAAACAACAGCCCGCTGAGTTTTTCGCCGGATCTTCTCAGCGTGTCGCGATTCCGATCCGGTAGTAGATTCATTCGCGAAACAGCTACTCTTGACTTGTTAGGTCTCCCTTGGAGGCACTCGTGCAGCTGTTAGCAAATCCCACCCCTCCTGGCTGAGCCCTTGCTCGCCCACCTGCCCTGGTAAAACTGGAAAGGCCTCCGGGCCACCAGTAACGTCTCAAACATAAAAAAGAAATGTATGGTCCCTTGAGGTTGATTGTTGAAAAAAAAAATACTCACATGGTCTATGAAGAGTCGAATCCAAGTCCCGAGGAATATGGCAATGACTATGCCTAGGAGGAGTAGGATGACTGCTGATGCGAGCACGAACCCTGGAAATTGAACACGAGTTTTTATTTTTGTTTTCTATTCCCTAGATAAGGGGACGAGGTCACAGCTCATCTGATGTTGTGTTTACCGGACCCCGTACCCATCACAAGTTCTATATCTTAGTTCTGTAGTATAACAGCTGCTCCTCCCTTCAAACCCGAAGTCGTTACAGTTAGTTTCGCGGCAGAAATAGGCAGGGCAGTGGTGTAGGCTCACAAGACATTCTACCATCAGTACTGTGCTAATTTATTTTATTTTATTGCATAGATGGGTGGACGAACTTACGGTCCATCTGATGTAAAGTGATTACCGGGGCCCATAGACATCTATAACGTAAATGCCGCAAACCATCTTGATATACGATTTCTAAGGTGTCAGTCATTGCTATAACGACTGCCCCACCCTTCAAACCGAAACGCATTACTGCTTCACGGCAGAAATAGGCAGGATGAGGAATACCCGTGAGGAATCACAAAAGTTCCTATACCACAATTTAACAAAAGTTTTATAAGTATAATAGCGATACCTCCGTAGTTTTCGATAACATAAACCGATAATAATCCATATAGTACTTAGTAAAATGAACAAGTTTTCCCTGCTTTGAGCGCATCACGCAAAAGCTACTGGATATAGTATGTTAATTTTTTTTTTAATAAGTTCAATTTGAGTTAATAACCGCGTTTACGCGTAGGGCACGATAGAGGGCATTACTAGTTTTCTGTATCGCGCTATCGTCATATGACATGGTTTGATATAAAAATGTAATTCTTCTTAATTTAAGAGCGGATACAGCAGACAAGATAAATACGTTATTAGCTCTCTGATCAGTTCAACCCACTGAAACGATTCTCAAGTCTCAAATGATTCTCTTCTTCTGTTTCTCCACCTTATCCCACTAGGTGGGGTCGGCACAGCTAATATTTCTCTTCCAATTTCGAATCTTTTCTATCTGCTGTCATCTCAATACTCACTCTTCTCTCTCTCTCATATCGTCATTCACACACTCCATCCATGTCTTGTTCGGTCGACCTCATCCCACTCTACCTTGCACTACCATTTCCATACATCTCCTAGTCACATGCATCTTCTCCCTACGCATCACATGTCCATACCACGCTAAGCGCTAACCGTAAGTGAACCACGCTCTTATACTAAAGTATAATACTAAAGTATAAGAGCGGAACTTTTTAACTGCCCTCGAAGGCAGGCGAGCATACGGTTCGCCTGATGATTACCGTCGCCTATGGACTTCACCAATGCCAGGGTCAGCGCCAAGCCACTGCCTACCGTTAGACATCAGTATTCTCCGTACTACTCAAGATGAGCCTCCGCTTGTAATGTGTGTGTAGTCCACGAGCAAAGTTCCACGCGAATGTTAGTGTACAAAAATACAAAAGCACTTCACGGTAATCAAATCTATACATCAATTACGATTAGTTCGTTCTGCGTGAAATGAAACACAAGTCTAAAAATAAGTTTCATAAAAAAAATATGGACGAAGTCGTATTGAAATGTTGGTCATTATAAATAGGTAGACAGCGGATTGGCTCTACCCCTGGCATTGCTGAAGTCCATGGGCGACGGTAACTACTCACACCATCAGGTGGGCCGTATGCTCGCTTGCCTGCAAGGGCAATAACAAAAAATAAAATAAAATGTTTATTTCAAGCATAAGCTTGTTATAATGTTGTTATTTTTTTTGTAATCACCACTAATTAAGTTAATAACTGATTAATTAACTAGCATTACAATAAAAATAACGCATAAATATCGTAGTTGGCATAGTATTCAAATGTCGACCTACATCTTCTCAAAACAGTAACGTTAGAAAAGTATTTTGAGGGTATCAATAAAAACATAACAAAATTGACGTTTGACTCGTGCACGGATTAATCAAAGATATAGTAGATTGGGGGGAATAGAGATTAGAGTAGAATAGGGACAAATCTGGGATGTCACAATACTCTTATTGAGTTGTTAGATTTAACTTTGTTGAACTGAAATTGACTTTTATTTAGTGTTTAAGATTATTAAATAGTTAAATTTAGTCATCAAAGTTTTGTAACTCATTAAAGATATTAAAAATTTAATTACCTAAAGTTAGGTACTAACCTAACAACTAAATAGTGCCAGTCCTATAAAAAAACTATAATGTCCCCATACGTAACCTGATTCACCCAAAAGCCAAAGTGAATCGGGTCAAGCTAGCTTTTTTTTGTTTTTGTGTATGTTTTGTAATGAACTATGTATAATAATTCGTCGTATATAAAAATTTAAACCTCCGGAACCATTTTAATCTCAATTTTATTGGTATTAACAAGGAAAACTATTGAAAATTTGTGTTGAAATTGGAAAGGGTCACGATTCCCCCCAATATACCGTATAGTCAAAACGCATTATTCTGAGGCGATCCAGCGAGAAACTCAGTGGAAGAATCCATATCAATAAACTTACTTTATCGCCCAGTAAAACATAATTTTCATTGAATATTAGTCAATAGGCTAGTATAATTTGTGCAATGGACAGCATTACCGCTAATAGGTTATTCTTTGAGACAATCGTTTTTACACAGTGGTATTTTAATAGGGATTTTAATAAAAATTAAAAATATGACAGACATCACGCTAAGTCCAGCGGCAAATTGTAGATAAGTGTTGTTTTGGGGCACATGTGTTTAGAGCAATGGCTGCCTCTCACTGTTAATCTTAAATAAAAATATTTCCGACAAACGGTCCAACTATTACGAAAACCAAATACATATTAAATCGAATGCAACATTACTGGTTATCCAAATAAACTATTTAAATATGTAGTCGTGTGTCGTCACGATAGGAAAATTCTACGTGACAGAATTTAAAAAAGAATTCCGCCATCTTAGAGCTTACGTCAAAAATAGTGCCAAACGTCAGGTTCGGTTGTTTTGTAATTTGTACGTGTAATTGTGAATTTATCATTGCAACTAGCAAGTTCATGTGTGATATTCTCATGTATTAATATTCTACGTTGATCAATAGTATCGAAGTAACAACAGGTTGAATATGGATTGGCTTATTTATTGTCTACTGCGACTATTAAAATCTGCTAATAACACATCGTGCTTTGCGCGGGAAGTTTCATATTTCGTTTTTTAATAAAAAAAATGGTTAAATTAAACTGAAAATATCATTATCTGACAATAAACCATTATTTGATTTAATTCGCGCTCAAAGCAAGCAATAAATGCGAACCGGAGAATCTATGAAAAACATTAATATTCAAACGGATGTTTTAGACATACATAGTCATTGCAAGTGAATACCAACATAACGTACATATTTAAAATGCATTGTGCCAACGTAACGAATGAATATTTTCTATTAGGGCCGAATAAAACCAGATTTCACTTTTGTGAACGCATTGCTAAATGTTAAATGTGCTATTAAAAAAAATTAAATTCCGGTAGCACAAAAAAATGGACCACTAAAATGGCGGATGAAAGGCGATTGCTTGCAGCAGAGATGCGAATGTTGCGATGGATGTGTGGAGTAACGAGAATAAATAGAATACGGAATGAATATGTTAGAGGAAGCCTGAAAGTGGCACCTGTGACAGAGAAGCTGAGAAGTGCGCGTTTGGGATGGTATGGACATGTGATGAGACGAAATGACAATGAGATTGGTAAGAGAGTGTTAACTATGAATGTGGAAGGATATACAGGAAGAGGTAGACCTAAGAAGAAATGGATGAATTGCGTGAAAAACGATATGTGTAAGAGGGGAGTGGGCCAAGAAATGGTATATGATAGAGGAGTATGGATGGAATAGAGGAGAAAGCATGTTGCGCCGACCCCACTGGGAGAAGGGCGGGAGAACTATGATGATGATGATGCCAAAAAAATATTGTTATACATAAAAATTACAAAATGTTTGTATGAAAATATCAATTTATTTTGTCTAGTAAGCATTTGTAGCCTGGACAAATTTATTTTATGGGTACATAATATTATGTTGGCATGTTGGTAGTACAAAACAAACTAAGTTGTGATTCATACGACCAAACTTCCACAGACAATATTATGAAAACACGAGCATCCGTCGGCCATGTTGTTTAAGCGGGAATCGCGTCTTTAAACACACATACATACGTACATACATATATGTATAACGTATAACGTACCATACGTGGAAATGTTATCCAAATATCGATCAATTCATGTTTCGGTAACATAATATTTGTGTTACAAGTGAAAATACTCAGAATTTGATTGCGAGTATACCGTGCATTTCGAAAAAGTACATATATATATTTTCTCCTATCTATTCGCTGGTAGCCTACCTATTCTAGCTTCGTGGAAACGGGGAGGTGAGCTGACGGGGTCAATCTGAGAGAATTTGCTAAAAGTAGTCCCGAGAAAGAAGAGCGCTTTGCACAATCTACCACCGGTTTGAAATGGCGACCCACTAAGAAGCTCCGTCGAGAAATTCAGTGGCCCGTGTCTATGGGTTAGTTCGTACGGTGACCTATGATTTATGGGCCTAAAGGCACCGAAAGCAGATCCGAGGGGCCTGACAAGACAGGTTTCGGGCGAGGGCGGCTTTGCATTACCCTATCGCCTGGATCTATTACATATAATTGCTGCGGCCACAATAAGAGGATTGTTTTAGATGAAATAACTGTTATAAACTGATAATTCTAGGATGATAATATCTCACTTAATCCATGCCAGAATACAAGACGAGATAAATGTACCTTCAGGATTGCTTAGCGGTAAAAACAAATTTCTTTGTGCCTACCCGCGCGGGTACGGAATAAATCCTAACACCAACAATGAATACGGCTCATTTTCCAGCAGCGCAGTATAAAATTACGACATTAAAACACTTGCGCAAGTTAAACTTTAGTCCCAATTAAAGATTAAAACAATTTGCCATAAAACTGTGTACAAAATTTACATTGTAAAATGTTTTACGCCACGAAGAGACTTCGGTTCTCCCTGTCGCTGTCGTGTGCTCAATGACGAATA